GTTGTGCTTCCTCCCCAATCTGATCCTACTAATGCATTTGTATTTGCTGATCTATTAGAATGTGATAGGCATCGTACTTGATCTGTTTTGTGGATCCCATCATTCCATGCTCCTGTCATTCATACTGGGTAAATCAGTAATACTAAAACACTCACAAAAGTTGAAATCGTACAGACATCCAAAAAGAGATGATGATGATGATGATGATATATTTCTTATATAAGAAATAACAAGATATTTCTTAAAACCCAGTCACTATGGGCAGCTTTTGATCATGGAGCATTTAAGATTCAATGAACACGCCCTGCCCCGCCCCGCCCCGCCCCCCCCCCCACACTTGTAGCATTTTTGTGAGGATTGCTTTTTCCAGTGTGGAAGGTGCAATTTCCGGGATGCTAAGCTATTTACCAAATGACAAATAACCCTCAAAAATAAATGTGACAGGGAACCCTGGGAAGCAGATGTTGGCTAAACATCAAGAGACACTTCCCAACACTATGACCTGTTCAATAGAGAAACAGACTGCCTCGGGAGGTGGTGGGTTCTCTGATGGAGGCATTTAAGCAGAGGCTAGATGGATAATGCATCCTTCCTGCATTCAGACTGTATGACTTCCAAAGTACCTCCCAGTTTTATTACCTTCTTTGCAAAATGCCACAACCACAGTCACTTCAGTGTCCATGCAATGTTTTCTGCAACTTCATGGGCTCAGTTTCAGTTAATCTGGCCTGGTGTTGTGGACAAAACCTTTGCAATAATACAGACAGTGACATATCTCTTCAACCCTTGCCCCTCTTGAAACATTACTCCTGCCAAGGGGAGTATGACTTCAGAGGTCTAGGGTATATGGTCACCACATATTTGTGGGTGGATGGCCTTTATTAGGAGACAGACATGAGACAGTGACCCTGTTATTTTTACTTGATCTCTCAATGGCTTGTGAGACCATTGTCTATAGTATCCCCCTGAGCTGACTTAGTGGGCTGGGCATTGGAAACCCTGTTTTACAGTGGCTCTGATCAGATTTTCAGGATCAGTTTCTGAGAATAGCGTTGGGTGATTATCTTTAGACCCCCTGGCAATTGAGCAATGGGGTGCTTCAGGGCACCATCTTGTCCCCAACAAGATGGGCAATCTATCCGGAAGATATTGTATTTCGAGGAGTTAGTGATCTGACATGGTTAACCTTCCTGCCTGTTTCCTGCCTCTGTTCCTTAAAGTTCTTTGATGGCATGAAGAACAGTCTTTAATGCCTTAATCGGTTGGAAGGAAATGATAGTGATAGGTACCTTCTTTGATGTTGGACATTGTTTTGAGAAAGTGAGGCATTGGGAGGGGGTAGCTAATGAATAATCTGCACATAGCCAGTAATGAATGATCTGCTCATAGCCAGTCGGGCAAGCCACACAGGCTAGCTAGCTATAAATTGGATGGTTTTGGGCAGAGTTTTTGAGAAGCTCGTGAGCAGACTGATGGTCGTGGGGCCGTGCAAACTGAGACTACCTGGGAGAGTCACTTCGCCTCTTCTTGAGGGCTCCCTAGTGGCAGATTGAAGTGCTTGCTGGGTAAGTATATATTGCTTGCTGTTTCGAATAAAAGCTTTAATCTTCTCACTCACTTGTGTTTTGTATTACTTCTGAATCTCATTTTAAGAAACCACCTTGCATTTAGCAAGACAACATCCATATGAAACTACTGTATTAGGAGCAAACATTAGGAGATTTAGAGGAAAGCATCTACAGTACATTGATGAAACCCAGCTCTATTTATCTGAACCAGGAGAGGCCATGCAAGCTCTGGACAGGTGAATGGACTCAATGGTAGGCTGGATGAGGGCCAATAAGCTAACTCTGAATCCTAGCAAAACGGAGGCCCTGTGGGTGGGTGGTTTCCAAGTCCATAGACTCAGTCAATTGTTTGCTTTGGATGAGGTTGTACTGCCACTAAAAGAGCAGATTCATAGCAAGGCAGGTGTTATTGGGTTCATCTTCATCACTAAAGGTCCAGATGACCTTTCAGTGGCTAGGAGTGCATTTTCCCAGCTTGGGCTGGTAAGACAGCAGTTTCTGGATCAGGATATCCTGACCACTGAGCATAGAAACCCATGATAAATTTCCACATTTATGTTCAAAGTTAACATAACCAAACATGAGTGAACATTTTCAAAGAAGGGACAAAAGAGAAGCTGGGTTTTTTTTGTTTTTTGTTTGTTTGTTTGTTTTGTAATAGAAAACAGAAGCAAAACAATGATCCCTACCTAGAACATTGCAGCCTTGCCTTAGCATGTCGGCTGCTTGGATGTTTTTTCATTTGCGGTGTTTATTCAAGCTCTTTTATAAACAATGCAATGGTGCATCAATATTTTTATTGCTGTTTTATGCTTTTATTGTGATGGTTTCATGATGATATTTTAGTAACTTATTAAGTTGCCTTGAATGCTATTTCTGGTAGAAAGGCAGTTTATACGTATTCTTTTTAATAATGGTGTCCATGATAATGATAATGATGTTACCATCAAGGTAGGGGGAATGAAAATTATAGGAGCCGGAAGAGACACATTGTGCGCACCACCAGACTTGGAAAGGGCAGACTGTGAAAAGTGAGACTGCAGCTCATTACCACACCCTGGGAAACATATTGAGTCAATGGGCAGTAGAAAGCTCATATCATTAAGCTTTTTCTTTCTTTTTTTTCATGTTCCGGAATAGGAGTGAGTGTGGGACAAACTTATTAGAAACTGCTTTCCTGACTCATTGAAGGTTCTGTCAGTAGTGGACAGTGTGGAGGGGCAGAGCTGCTCACCTGATCCCTGGTCATTTGCTTCTCCGCTGCTTACCAGCAGTTGAAGGGGAGTGGCAAGATTGCAATGAGGTTGGCATTGTGCAAACACCCTGGAAGGAGTGCTGGAGATGCTCATCATGCCATACTCACCTTGCTTTCTTAACACTTGACACAGGCTTCTGACTTGAAGAGTTTACTCAGTAAGAAATCTGAGCTGGCAAGATCTTAACTGGGCTGAACCTTGCTGGAAGTAAACAAGACTGTCAACTACAGTGGTACCTCAGTTTTTGAACGTAATCCGTTCCGGAAGTCCATCCGAGTTCTGAAAAACTGAAAACTAAAAGCGGAAGCCTCAATACAGAAAACTCAAAATGGAAGACACATTTCCTGTTTGACTTCTGAGGCACATTCAAAAACTGAGGCATTTACTTCTGGGTTTTCGCTGTTTGAATTCCAAAACGTTCGACTACGGAGGCGTTCAAAAACTGAGGTACTACTGTATTTTGTTTGCAGGGCAGTTAAGACTTCGTATGGGTCTTCTGAATCTTGAGCTACGCTATAAAATTCTAAAGCTGAAGCTGCCTTGATACTTTTGGTAAAATGTTTCCCACTGACAGAGCATTTATCTCTGAACTACGCTCTGACGCAAGGAAAAAAATTTCAAATGTTGTTGAACGTTTACTAAATCCCGGCACATCTGGAAAACCTGAATGTCACAAAGCTTGTCCTGTATCATGAATACAGTGGTACCTCAGGTCACAGATGCTTCAGGTTACAGACTCTGCTAACCCAGAAATAGTACCTCAGGTTAAGAACTTTGCTTCAGGATAAGAACAGAAATCGTGCGGCGGCAGTGTGGTGGCAGTGGGAGGCCCCATTAGCTAAAGTGGTGCTTCAGGTTAAGAACAGTTTCAGGTTAAGAACGGACCTCTGGAACGAATCAAGTTCTTAACCTGAGGTACCACTGTAGTAGGAACCTGTGGCGCCTGGACAACAATTCCCCTCATCCTTCACCCTGACCATTGGCCATGTTGGCTGGGGCCGATGAGAGTTGGATTCTAACACCTGATTGGCCACATGGTCCCTATTACTGCTCTAAGTTGGGTTGCCATTTTTAGCCATTCTCAGTTAGTTCTGAACAAGGATGGGCCTTGTTTAAAAGCTTAGTGTTCCCTCCCCTCCACCCCACATCTGTGCTGCTGAGCATATAGAATCAACAGCCCTGGTGGATTAAACCAGAGGTTTATCCAGTTCGCACAGATGATTAGAAGGTTCCCCAATTCATCATTTGTGTGTGTGTGTTACACACATAGGTGTGCCTGTGCGCACACACATATGTGCTATATATAAATGCATACATGCACCAACTTTTTTTTTTTAAGGGAATGCCTCCTTGTCTCTCACACTGCAGGGTATGCGTCTTCTGATATATTCGTGCATAATTTAAAAAACCAAGGGAAGAATTGTTTTCTGTTGGAACGCATGGCTTTTACTCACTTTGCCAGTTTAAACAGTTCATTAATCAGTTGTCTACAACACAGCTAATTAATTGGCTAAGATACCTTCAACTGCACGATAGTCCTATTCAAATCATGTTTCAGATAACAATGCTTCTTACCTGGTAGGAGTTTGCTGTTTCCCAAAGTGCAATTTACGATGAGATGCTCTGTCGCATTTTGCATAAACTTTTATCAACCAGCAAAGCTTTTTTTTCCAAATGCTTCGTTTTGGTGAACTTTATAAATGAGGCACTCTTTTATTGCTGGTACAATTCACCCTGAAAAAACCTCCTGAAATACCCTCGGAGGAATAAGCAATTAGCACAAGATCTTTCAGTGGGACGTCCCCCTTCCCCCAGCAACAACTTGTGCATGGACACAGGTGTTAATGTCAAGTTCAGAAGCTAGACTTAAGGGATTTTCAGTAGAGTAGTTTACATACAAAGCAAAAGAAGTACTTTGGGGAGTGGGGAGAAAAAGAGAGTTTAGATCTGTATTAGTAAGAGATGTTTGTTTTTGTCTGTTACGTCTTGTTACTATAGAACAAACCCGATCTCAAAATCAAACATGGATAGCAAAATTCATTGCCTTGAATCTAGTTTTATAAGCACTGAATCTATAATTTTAAAATATACAGCAGTCCCAATAATGATAAAGTTTCAATTTATTGGCACTCCCTTAGTGCTAAGGACTTGGCAGTTTGAGGACTTGCCCTGAGTCACATGACTAATTCAGTTGGTAGAGCATGAGGCTCTCAGGGTCGTGGGTTCGAGCCCCACGTTGTGCAAAAGATTCCTGCATTGCAGGGGGTTGGACTAGATGACCCTCGTGGTGCCTTTCAACTCTATAGTTCTACTGGGAAGTTCCTTAGGCCTGTAGTGTTCAGTTCTTGCAGAGGGTCTGAGAGGCTCCCCTTGTTATGTACTGAAGTTCTCACCCTGGGCCAGCAGGGGGATACTGTAGATAGTTTTCACTCAGGTCCACATATGCAAATAAGGGATTGAAAATGACGTTCAGTGATTGGATAGTTACAGAAAGTGGTTACTGTTGCGTTGTAGTGAAACTCTATATAAGCAGGCTGGCTGAACCCTTCAGCTCAGTTCTGTTCTGGCCTGTGAATAAACAAGAGCTGTTTGAAGAATTGCTGTGTCGTCTGATATGTTCTCCCACAACTTAACACCCCTGAATAAATCTCTTTTTATTAGACTGTTCCTCATTCTTGATGCCTGCTATTGAACCCAGAAGCAATACAGTCCCCGCCTACAGGCTCGCAATCTAATAGACACAGCAAAAAGAGAAAAATAACGCAGAGGGAAGCAAGCAATGGATCATATGCTCCTTCGCTAGCTAACGTCATTCTATTTAGATTCCTCCCCAAAGTGGCAAATGAAAGTAAGCAATCAGCATAAATGTTTCTAGATTCAGGTAGGTAACCGTGTTGGTCTGACACAGTCAAAATAAATAATTTTTTTTTTTTTTTTAAATGTCCCGTAGCACCTTAGAGACCAGCTAAGTTTGTTCTGGGTATAAGCTTTCGTGTGCATGCACACTTCTTCAGATATCTGTTGTATTTTGAATTCCTTGACATGCATTTATATAGAGAATAAAGCCACTGCTTTCAAGTTACTGGTTCCAGAGCTCAAATGGGCTGAGGATCAAAGGGCAGAGAACGGCCACGATTCCATTTACATCCAACTGTGGGTCTCACTAGCTGGTGATTTAACTCAAACTCACTGTGGTCATTTCCAGTCATTCAGACCTTTTTGTAGGATTTCATAGCTGCTCAAATTGCCTTTGTCCATGCAGCTGTTTCATGATAAGCAGAATCAGGTGCTCTAAGATGTGCTGTGTGAGGTTCAATAATAAGAGAGAAGCAGAGAGTCACTGCAGAATGGTACCAAAAAGAATCTCTCTCTCTCTCTCTCTCTCTCTCTCTCTCTCTCTCTCACACACACACACACACACACACACACACACACACACCTGCTTTAACTCCTAGTCTCTGCAGGGGGACACCATTTTCTCTTTCTCTCTCTCTCTGTCCCTCCCTCTTGCTTTCTTGCAAATGACAGCCCTGTTTTTCTTCATTTTTTTGGTTTTGAAACGGACAGACCCAGGAGACTACAACAAAGAAAAAGTTTGTCAGACTCCAACGTGCAGAAATGGCACTGAGCTAAATTGGTCCTTTGAGAGGCCTACTCTCCTCTCCTGTGTAGACAGGAGGTGTTGTGGCAACTAAGAGACCAGGAGACACGGTGTGGGAGTCTGGCAGCGCCTCTGAAAGTTTAATATTCTCCTGAGTTTTGTCTCGTGTCAAAAGAAAATGCAAAGCTTGGGCAACTAATATTTCCTATATGGCTGTGATGCCCAGCACTGGGAGTTGACTCTATCGGGTGATGGATGAAACAGCTTGTGGTTTAATGCAGCTGGGATAACATTATTATTAGGAATTTGCCATTTGGCTTATCCGAAATCTGATGCCTTCAGCCAGTTTTATAAAAGTGGGAGAATGCTTCTATTCTTACCGAGAATAAGGAGCACGCAGATACACACCACAGAAACCCCAACCACATAATTCTACTCATATTTACACAAGAGTGAATTTGTGTATATTGAATGGGACTTCTTCCCAGGTGCACAGGATTGCAGCGGAAGTTATTTCAAGTTGTGCCCATGCACAGGTATTGTGGCTATTTGTGCCATTTCCCTCTATTCAAGGAAAGAACCAAGTGAAGATTGGCTATCAACACTTTGTTAAAGGTGGTAAGGTAAAGGTAAAGGGACCCCTGACCATTAGGTCCAGTCGTGACCGACTCTGGGGTTGCGGCGCTCATCTTGCTTTATTGGCCGAGGGAGCCAGCATACAGCTTCTGGGTCATGTGGCCAGCATGAATAAGCTGCTTCTGGCGAACCAGAGCAGCGCACGGAAACACCGTTTACCTTCCCGCCAGAGCGGTACCTATTTATCTACTTGCACTTTGATGTGCTTTCAAACTGCTAGGGGGGCAGGAGCTTGGACCGAGCAATGGGAGCTCACCCCGTCGTGGGGATTCAAACCGCCGACCTTCTGATCGGCAAGTCCTAGGCTCTGTGGTTTAACCCACAGCGCCACCCGCATCCCTGTTAAAGGTGGTAACAGGGCTTAATTAGAAAATGGCATGGATTTCAAACGTCAAAGCCAATCCCATTGTAAAAACTGAAGCATTCCTGAGCTCCCTGGAGACAAGGTAGTGTGCATTATAAACAATGTATTTCAGGGGAGGTGTTTTTCAGTTCAAGGGCTGAATTGCCTTCTGGGCAACTTTCCAGGGGTCACATGCAAGTGTTGGATAGGGCCAGAGGCAAATGTGGGCAGATCAACAAGTTTAAATGTTACCTTTATACAGTAGGCAAGTTCCTATACACCTTCACATACTATCCTCCATCCAGGCAAGTGACAGGCATTGTCAGAGTTCAATGACACATTCCAGCCAGCCAAAAACCAGTTACCTTACTATTTGAGATCCTTATAATTAGAAATGGCAGTGATTGTCCCTAGAAATGTTTGTATACAAAGCATGTGTTTGACCAACACTCCCTTTAAAATATATCTGGCCCAGAAAACCAGTCATTTTGGCATTAGAAAAAATGAACCTGAAGGACAAAGGAAGATTACGCATATTTAAAAAGGAGTAATTGGCAGCGAGAGAGAATCTGCTTTTGTGAGTCGTGTTCCATCTCAGAAAATTGCAGAGCTCTGCTTTCTTGGTTGTATGGAACCCTCCACCTTCCACCGCAAAATGTCAAGTTTCGGTATCCGCACAGTTCCTCCTTGTTTGTTTTCCATGACAGCCTGGCTCTCCAAAGTGCCACTAATAATCCAGCATCCAATTAGCTGTGCAAGTTTGTAGCTTTTCTGACACTTCTCTCAAAGCATCCCTGGGATACTGCAGCCTACAAGCCACTTCTTCTGTGTGAGGCTCGAAAGGCAGAGGCTGAGACAAGGCAAAAGCGACGTATTTATTATTCCGTGCTAGCGGGATAACGGAATACGTTGCTTTCAATGCTAAACTGTGTTGTTCGAGGGGTGTGTGTGGACGAAATCCCACGGCCTGATCAAGCCCTCCATTACCTATGCCTGCAAGGGGTTCCTCGAATCGACAAGCTGGGCCCGCAGTGTTGCTGTGTATTCATTCCCAGGAAATACTGCAGAGTGCTTGAAAGAACAGCAATTTAAAAGAGGTGGGTGGTTTGTGGGTGTAATAAAGAGATGACAGCAGAGCCTTTCTTGAGGCTGCTGCTTACATTCTGCGTTGCCATATTAACAGATTTTGCAACCTTTGTTCCCATGGAAGTACAAGCTGGTGCATGGGGGTCTGGGTCTTTATGGGAAATATTTGAGATGGTAATCATGGGACTTTAGCTCGGCCTTTTTCTTTAAGCTCAGAAACTAGAAAACGCTCCCCATTAAGCAGAATGATCCCCAAGAAGCTTAGCAGAATCATCGAGGATCACTTTGTCGTTAACTGCAAGTGCCAAATGCCCACTGGCACCCCTTTCCTTGGGTTTGTCCACAAGACCTTTGCACAACAGTTAATGAGCTTCCAGACAGAGATGAGGAAGCTAGAGAGAGGCTGAGAAGGATCTGAAAATCAAGTTCATGACTGCTACCCTAGGGCTGCCATACATCTGGGAATTCAAAGGTGGAATTGACATCTGGGGGAAATTTCCAAAATGTGGTGCTTTGTGCTGGATCTTAGACAAGTCAATCAAAAAAATCACATGGGGGGGAATCATGTTTTTGTAAAAATGCTCAACAACTTTCGGGGTGTCCTGGTTTTTACTTTTCGAAACATGGCAACCCTAGCTATGCAAGGCAAAGATCACAATTTTGGTCATCAAGTTGAGTTACAGGCAAGGAAAGATTAATGCCAAGGTAATCAACCCAACCAAGAGCAACATCGTAGGGAATGTTCCAATAACAGTGTGTGTGTGTGTGTGTGTGTGTTTTCATCCTCAGTGGCCAGTAGTGGTTAGGACCCATTGGGACCAGTGTGGTGGAAAGCAACAATACCTTTAATTCGTATCTGAAGCACATTTTCCCCTTCAGAGAATTCTGGGCACTGTAATTTGTGAAGGGTTGCTGGGAATTGTAACTCTGTGGGGCATAAGCTACATTACTCAGAATTTTTTGAGGGAAAGAATGTGCTTTAAAGGTATAATGGGTACACAGCTTAAAACACAGTCACAGCATGCTGTGTTTCAGATCAGAGCACTCATGGGGAGAAGGGTGCTTAACAAACATGTCCCAGGACTGGTCCCCCCCCCAATTAGTATCCTCCCTTACTGCTTTCTCATTCATAGGGGGAAAGTGCTGGGTCCATCTAACATTCCCTCTTGTGGAAAGAGAGAGAGAGTTAGTTGTCAGCATCTAATTTTGGTTGGATGGAGAGGAAGTCCCAAGGGAGAAAGAGTTAAGCATCTCCTCCTCCTCCATAGCCCCACACCAGCCTTCCAGTTTTAGAAACAAGCTACTAAAAGACTTCTTTGTTTTCTCTACGTCTCTCATCTTCTTCAGCTCTCTCTGTCTCCCAATTCAATGGCACCACTGCTCTGCCCTCCCAGGAGCTGAAGGGTGACCCTTCCCCAAAAGCATGAGAGAGACATCCAGTCATTAGCATCCATTCATGGAGCTTAGCAACCAATCAGCTCAACAAAGGATGGCCAGCCAGCAGCCTGACAATATTCTGTCTGTGACTCAGAGTTGTCCCCGGTAAATTGAGGGAGATGGCAAAATATAATAGGAGAAGATTTGGAGGGCTGCTTCTGAGGAGGCTGGCAGCTGGCATGGGAAATGAGTTTTTGAAGTATGCATGCTACAGGTACACACACACACACACGCCAGCTTGTTGTGTCTTCTTGCCCCCTCAAATCTATATATAAATGGCCTGTTAGCTGGGATAGCTCAGTCAGTAGAGCATGAGACTTAATCTCAGAGTTGTGGGTTAGAGGCCCACACTGGGCAAAATATTCCTTTGTTGCAGAGGGTTGGACTAGATGACCCCCATGCTCCCTTCCAACTCTACAATTCTAGGGTTCCATGGCAGTTTTCTATGTTCTTACTGTACGTAAGATTTGCAAATCTCACTTGCTGGACTGTGGGTCAACACAAGATGTCAGTAAAGCAGTCTCTCTGCACCTGGTGCTCTCCAGATGTTTAGGACAACAATGGATCCAAACTACAAGAAAGAAGATTCCACCTAAACATTAGGAAGAACTTCCTGACAGTAAGAGCTGTTCGACAGTGGAATTTGCTGCCAAGGAGTGTGGTGGAGTCTCCTTCTTTGGAGGTCTTTAAGCAGAGGCTTGACAACCATATGTCAGGAGTGCTCTGATGGTGTTTCCTGCTTGGCAGGGGGTTGGACTCGATGGCCCTTGTAGTCTCTTCCAACTCTATGATTCTATGATTCTATGCTGTCATCCCTGACCATTGGCCATGCTGGTTTGGGGCTGAAGGGAGTTGGATTCCGACAACATTGGGAAGGTGTTGTCAGGAGTTCAGCCTACACTCAAGTAGGACCCTGGCAGAGACACATGCCCAACTGGCATGTTCTCTCCCTCCGGGTCTTTCATTCGGGAGCTTCATGAGCTTTCTTCTGCCCGAACATCACAGCGACTGATGCCAACTGACACTGACACACTTAGGGATCCACAGAGTTTGCGCACCTTGCGTGACAGACCTCAGCAACTCAGCATTTTGGCTAATCTACTTTATTTACATATAAACACACACGGAGCACTGCAACATGGCTCCCTCTCTCTCTAGCATCAGACAGCAAAGAGAAAAAGAACAAAGGACAACAGTCCCACTTCACGGAACACAGTAACACAAACTTCCTGTCTTCGTCACTTCCCACTCTGTGGAGTCAAAACATATACTGTCATGTGATAGACAACAATCCTATGACTGCAATCATGGAGCAGGAATTCTAACAGGTACCACGTTGGGGGAGGCTGCGGTAAATAGACTAGAGTGAGGAGAATTAGACATTGCCTCTACAAAGAGCTGCAGACCCCTTATTGGCAGAGGTAATGCTGATGTGGGGGGCACTGGGCTAGGGGGGAGGACCAGTGAGCAACCTCCAGCCTGCATGCCACATGAGGCCCATCCCTCCTTGCCATTTGGCCCACCTGGCAGTGCCCCCTACCCTATATGACATCAGGTGTTGAGAATAAAAAGCAGCAGTGGCCAGCCTGAAAGGGGTGTTTTGCAGGCGCTGCCCGCGTGAGCTGAGTCAACTCCAGACGACTGTGCCCTCGACTGAAATGAATAGGGTTGCCAGACTGCAATCCAGAGATTCGCTGTGCTCCTTTCAAAAGGCATCATTTGCCGCTTACTCATCCCAGCTCCCCCAGTGCTTTGGGATGCTTCGTGATGGGTTGTTCTTCCCTGGGATTTTCCTTGCCTCCCTCCTACCTGCCGTCTGTAGCTAAGTTTCCTTCAAGAAAGAAAATGCTCACAGTGGTTGCAGATAGGGTTGCCTCTCTCTCTCTCTCTCTCTCTCTCTCTCTCTCTCTCTCTCTACACACACACACACACACACACACCCCACAGCAGCAGCAGCAGTAGTTCTGGGATGCAGGAAGCTTGCCAGGGTAAATTCCCCACTTGTCATGTTGTTAAAGGCCCAGCAGCCCTGCCTTGCAGTGTGGAGAAGGGGGGGCGACACTCACCATGAGGCTCTGCACTTGAGAGCACCTACCTTTAACTTAATGTGCACTGACATCCGGATTATGCAACTTTGCTTAGGGCTGTTCTTTTCCTCTCGCGGCTTGCCAGTTCCGAGATCCAGGTGAGACGTTTACAACATCTGAGCTCAGCTTGGCCCAGGCCTTTATAATTGCACCTCTAACAAAACCTACAGAATCCTTTAGTGTTTCGTTTTACTTTTAACCGCCCCCCCCCCCAAATTTCTTCACCTTCTTTTATTTTTTCAGATGGTTTGCAAATGTGACGAATATTTGTTGCGCAGATCTCTGGCACCTGTCAGAAAATCCCTGCGAAGTAATTGCTTTTGACTTCTTGCTGGGTAGAATGCCCCAGCTGCCTTGTCATATTTCTTAGCATCTTCATTTTCCTCATACCCAATCCTGTTTCAGCCTCAGCTTGCTGCCCCCCCCCCCCAGCAAGCTAGAAATGACCACTTCCTTTCTAGAAAGCAGAGCATGAGCATCAGTGCCGAGATAAAAGGCTGCACTCCTAAACCACTTCCCTCAGAGTGAGCTCCTTTGAATCCCATAGGGCAGGTTGATCACGTCCGACTGGTCAATCCCCGGGATGTTTTTTTTAAGATCACGGCTGATCACTGGCTCCTGTATCTGGCCCTGAACGGAAGATGGAGTTTTCGCTGCAATGCTAACTGTTTCATTAGCGATCTGTTGGTGAATGTCTTTCTTCCTTTTTTCCTTTGGCCTGATCCTGTCAAAAATCGGGCATTCACTCCCTAAAAAAAAGCTCAACCACCTTGCCCTGAACTCCCCCCCCCCACAAAAAGGGGTACATTCCTTCCTAAAAAAGCTCAACAACTTCAACCTGAACCCCCCAAAAGCAGGATATTATTCTCTTTAAAAAGTTCACTCTGACTTGAACCCCCCCCAACGGGATATTCTTCTCTCAAAAAAGCGCAAGAACTTGAAGACCTGAACCACCCCCCCCCCCCAAAAAAAGGGTAGATCACTGCCAGTTTTTTATTCTGGGAGTAGCTCGCAGTCTCTTGGGAGTTGGACGCCCCTGCCATAGGGTATATTTCTGAAGTGACACGGGCCACATTCACACCGTTCATTTAAGGCACATTTAGAACATCCGAAAACATGACAAATCAATCACAGTCATTAATTTCATGATGGCCATGATCAGTGCCTGTCAGCCATCAAATGCCTCAGTAAACAGGAATCTTTTAAATTAAGTCAATAAGGAAGGAGGCAGGTGCACCACACAAGGGAGGGCATTCTACAAAAAGAGAAACACCACGGAGAAGGCCCTGCCACACAGTGAGTAAACACCAACCGGGCAGTAGTCAGAGGTGGCGGCAGCAGGGCCTGAGATGGTTTCTACTTGAGACAGATATGGAGATAGTTACAGGACAAACAGCCACAGTGATGCAATTTAGTGCTGAGGATATGACTTCCCACACACCTTTTTAATTCCCCACTGCCGCCACTGCCTTTTGGTCTGTCCGTCTGGCCTAGAAGGAAAACTGCTGCAACCTTTGCAAAGTGTAGTGTATGCACTAATGGCTGATTAATTCTGAGCAGGCAGGAGGAAATGGTGGAATGAGAGGGGGGGGAGGGAGAGAGGGAGAAGCAAGCAGCAGCAGCAGCAGCAGCAGCAGGGTAGAATCCTCATAACTGTGTGCGCACTAGATAGCTCTGCCCTTGATTCATCCAGGAATTGCAAATGTAAGCTGATAAAGCTGGCAGCCTATACTAATCCACAGCTAAGTGCATGAAAACTGATTAATAAAACAAAACTACAAGCTCTAGCAGTTCCCACCGTTCAGCAGTTGACCCGCTTTTAAAATAAAAAAATAAACGAATGAACACATAGATGTGGCTTCTTGCCTGAGACAAGGTTCACATTTGGGGGTGCAGCAATGGCAGTGACCGAGAGCATCTCTCGGTGCTGCAACCAACCCTTTCAAATGCCTCTCTCCCCATCTAGGGGCTGGAAAATATTCCCCCGACACATGTTTTCTACCAGGTCTTCCATTTAAGGTTCTATTAAATGCTTCCTGGTGGTTTCTGCTAATGTTCTCATTATTTAGAAGTGACAAAGGGATACATTTTTTTTTCCAGGAGAGCTAACGGTCTTAATTTTCTTAACGTGTTTATCTCACTTGGGAGCTATTCTTGTGGCAGTGCTATTAGAACAGCATACATTCAGAGCAGGCTCAGCAAGCTGCATGCTTAAAACCTGTGATCTGTATTTGTTCATCTGGGCGAATGTGGGTGTTCCACTGATATTTAGCAATCCTGGTATAAACAACACTGGCTGGTGCATAGATGGCAACTGGCCTCTGCTGGGCAGAAATGGAACTGCGATCTGTATGGTTTGCTGGGTTGCAGAAAAGCTGGCTGGTTGTACCTTAGCCTCGCTGGAATGCAAGCCTGATTTTGTAGGGAAACATTGGCCTACGATTCACACAACCCGCTCTGCTTGGCCTGACTTTCAGCTCTCTCAGCCTGTGACAAGGCAGTTATGCGCAAAAGCAGCTGTTATGTGGGGTGATTACCTCGTCTCCAATGCGTTTACCATTGATATGAAGCCTTTGGTGGTGAGCTGTCAAGAGTTATCGTTAGGAGATCAGTATGCTGTTGCTAACCCTCTCAGCAAAAAGAGATTAAAACACATTATTATTATTATTATTATTATTATTATTATTATTATTACTACTACTATTACTATTATTACTATTATTATACCACCATAGTTAAAGCTATGGTTTTCCCAGTAGTGATGTATGGAAGTAAGAGCTGGACCATAAAGAAGGCTGATCGCTGAAGAATTGATGCTTTTGAATTATGGTGCTGGAGGAAACTCTTGAGAGTCCCTTGGACTGCAAGAAGATCAAACCTCTCCATTCTGAAGGAAATCAGCCCTGAGTGCTCACTGGAAGGACAAATTGTGAAGCTGAGGCTCCAATACTTTGGCTACCTCATGAGAAGAGAACTCCCTGGAAAAGACCCTGATGTTGGGAAAGATTGAGGGCACACGGAGAAGGGGACGACAGAGGATGAGATGGTTGGACAGTGTTCTCGAAGCTACCAGCATGAGTTTGACCAAACTGCGGGAGGCAGTAGAAGACAGGAGTGCCTGGCGTGCTCTGGTCCATGGGGTCACGAAGAGTCGGACACGACTAAACGACTAAACAACAACATACCTGTAGATCTCAGGACAGTTTTCAACATAAATTCACAATATTAAAAAAACCACATAAAATACATAATAAAAATGAGAACAAAATC